GGGGCCACTCCAGGTCGCAGAAGGTTTGGAGAGTCCCAGGGGAGACCAGGTCTCCATAGTCAGCAGCTTGCAGTTGGAATTCCCCTGGAAATGATCAAGAGTACATTGCAAAGGCGACACAGAAGCAGAAGCACACTGGCACATAGTTATCAGGCTGATAAACATCTATCGGCCAAAACACACAAAAATGAAACAGAAACTGACCTAAGACTCTGACCCATGTCACTGAAAGGAGTCGAGTCCAGACGCTGTCACTGCATCCAGCACCTCTTAGGAGTCTCAGAGGGGGCACCCTGACAGAACAGATACAGATGCCTTACCGGCAAGATCTTTCAGATGGCTCGGTCTAGTTGGGTCGGATGTTAGGATTTATGAGTTTTTGGAGACCGTCCAAGGGCCAGAAAGTTCCCCTGGGGAAATGGTTTCCAAAGACTACGGTTCCTACGATTGATCCCCAGTAAAGGGGCTCCCGGACAAGCCCCCAAATGTTATGGGTCAGTCTGCATAGGAACCGGCTCAGCCAAATAGAAATTTGAATAGAGCCTTTTACTTACTGAGCTCAGGTCCATCACTTATCTCTCACTCAGGAGATGACTGATCCACATCCGAATGTAGGTAGCAGGGGGGTATTTATAACAGAAATCACACCCAGTTTGGTAAGCGAATTTGTTATCTAGCACAGAACAACAAAAAACTACATTCATTTGACACAGCTGCAAACTGTTCATAACTAAAGGTTCTTTCATAGCTTAGTGATAAGTGCATATTTTTATAAGATACATCTTAAGCTGACCATGTTACAGGAGATGGTTAGGGAGGGAGCATGTTTCAGCTTGCTGCCTTGACAAGAAACAGTTATTGTTAAACAGCCTTAAGCCGAGAGGGAGAATATATTTCTTAGAGTAGATAACAGGAAGCACAAGGATTTTTTTTTTTTTTAAATAACTTCCTGCAGTTAAGGCACAAAACTCTGTTCACCCTTTACAGCACCCCCACCTGAGGGCTGCCCCCAGGTTTCTGACCAGTGGGGACAACAGGGAATTAATTCTTCTTTGCCTCCAGAATGAGGACAAACACCTTGGGACCTGTCCCCCATGATAGAGATGGTGGGGTGCAGATGGTAGAATGCCTGTGAGAGCAGCACGGAGTGGCTCACCTCAGGAGACTCCCAGGAAAGTCACTTCTGGTTTGCAGTCCGGTCTACCGGCATCCTCACATCACAGCTCTGCTTGTGGTTGGGTGCAGTAGGACAGACCTATAACCTCAGCTACTTGAAAGGCCAAGGCAGGCAGATCGTTGGTTTGAGGCCAGCCTGGGCAATTTAGTGAGAACCTGTCTCAAAACAAAAACTTAAAAAGGTCTTAAGACCTAGTTCAGGACCCTCTGGGTCCACACCACACTACCCTCCCACCCCATATTGGAAAAAAATAAACAAAACAAACCAAAACAAACACACTTCCAGCCTACATGGGCCACAATGGAGATGCTGAGCTCCTTCCCTGCTCACCTACTTCTTCCTTTTCCAGAATGGAAAGTAGGAAGGAGGGAGGGAGGGAGAGACTGACGGTTTTGTTGCCTGTGAACTGCCTCCTCCATACACAAGTTTTGGCTTCCTATTGGTTTAGGATGGGTGACTGCTTCTTTTTTTCTGAGATAGGCTTTCACTTTCTAGTCCAGGCTGGCACTGAACTCACTTTGAACCCAGGCTGGTGATCCTCCTGCCTCAGCCTCCCAACTGCTGGGATTCTAGGCATGCACCACCATGCCCGGCTAAATGAGAACTTCTGACCTGTGGGGTGCTTTCTTTGCATATCTCTGGCCAAGCAGGAAGCAGGCTCTTTTTTTTTTTTTTTTTTTTTTTGAGTGTTGGGGGACTATGTCATGGACTTTTTGCTGGGATTCTGGCTCTGAAGATGGTGGAGCCTTCAGCCTGTCCTAGAAACCCTCAGTCCTCACCTTGAGCTCTAAGTTGTTTCCCGGAGTTTCTCCTATTTCTGGAGCAGCTTTGCCCTTCTTCTTCAGCCCCTGAGTCATCCCTTCTCCGACACCCATCTGAGCCTGTTTCTTCCCTTTTCTCCTTTCTGCCTGAAACTCAGGGATTTTTGCCTGTGAGTGAACAACCCTCATCACCAAATCTCCCCCTGCCCCCAGACCTACCAGCCGAGCCCTTATTGCTCTCTCCCTCCGGGTGATTTCCACAATTACTGCTCTCCTGAGTGTGTTCCCATCTTTGGTTGAAGAGAATATTTTCATATATTTCAGTGCTTGAGTACAGTCACAGGGAAAATGAACTGTTTTCCCTTCCTTTGGTAGTGGGCGGGACTGTATTCAAGCGCTTGTATATTGCCAGCAGTGCTATACCCCAGAGCTCTTTCATTTTTCTTTTTTTAAATTGGAGACAGGGACTCACTAAGTTTTCCAGCCTGTCCCATTCGCCACTCACAGAGCCCCACGTGGCCCTGGGGGCGCCTGGGAAGTGGGGCCAGGGCTGCCACCCTGAGCTGACCAAAGTTGTGATTGCCCTGTCTCAACATCTATGCAGCTGGACTTTCAAGAGTGTCCCACCACACCCACAGAGAAACTGAAACTCCTGAAGGTGATAAAAAGGCAGCAAGCAGTCAGCGCTGCAAACACTGCCAGCCGGAAGGATGTCGTCCACAGTAAGTCCCCAGAAAGGGTTTGAAAGCTTTTATTTATTTATTGGTACCAGGGATTGCACTCAGGACCTTGAGCTTGCCAGGCAAGCACTTATGCTGCTGAGCTAATCTCCCCAGTGGAAGCTTTTATTTTTGAAGCAGCAACAGCTCTGTTAAAAGAGGTTCCATGTGTTTTCCTTGTTGGTCTTTGACTCTGGTGCAGAGGGGACAAGGGAACCTGCTGAGGTCTGTGGGGACCCAGCTGTCTCAGACACAGCAGGGGAAGAACCCAGGGACTGGGTCAAGAGTGCTGGCGCTTCCCTGCCTCAGCTGCTGTGTGGGATTTGCTTCCACTGAGACCCAGGAGCAGCTTGTCCTGGGGTGGGTTTTTGCCTTGCCAAGCCCTCCTCTGGCCACACATGCATGGTAGCTCCTCTGGGCCTCCTGAGGGGCAGCAATGGTCAGCCTAGGCGGGGCAGCCCTCACCCACTGCCCAGACACCTCCTGGGCCACAGTGTGCTCCGTGAGTGGTGAGGGGGGCCAGGATCAGGAGGTCTGGGAAAGTGGCTCAGAGAGCCTTGGGGTGCTGTCAGGAAGGGTCCCCCTAGGCAACACCAGCCCCTCTACTTCTCCCTCCTTTCCTTTGTGCCCCTTTCTGTGCCCCTTTTCCTTCAGGCTCAATAATAAATATTTCTTGAGTGTTGGCTGCATCCCAGCTCCTTGCTGAAGGCTTTTATTTAATCAAACCAGGCTGTTACTAAATAACCTTGCCAAGTGGCAGTAACTCTCCTCTCTCCCCACTATGTGGGTGCTGGGGTGATACTTTGGTTAATATCAGAGAGAAGATTGCTTACGAGGCACAGGGGAGATTGCATGATTAATCTTTCAATTAAAAAACAAACAAACAAACCTGCTTCTTTAATTGCACAAGGTATTTGAATACATTCACCTTATTTAAGAAACCAAAAGCAAAACTGTTAACATGGAGGACAAAAGCCATTTTATTGTGGTACATGTCATATATAACTTTGCTCTAGACGTCTTGGTGTGTGTTCTGCCAGTTGTTTTTCTATGCATTTGGTCTGTGACTTTGGGTTTTACTGTAGGTTTTTTTCTTTTTCTTTTTTTTTGTGTGTGTGGTGGAACCGGGGATTGAATTCAGGCCCTTGTGCTTGCCAGGCAAGCACTTACTCTACTGAGCCATCTCCCTGGCCCTTACTGTAGTTTTTAATTTGGTTCCCTGAATTCAGTTCATCTAGAATATGCTTGAATCTTGTCATTTATATACAAGATTTGATGTGCTTTAGTCAATGTACATTTTCTGTCTCTCTCTCTGTCTCTCTCTGCCTGTCTGTCTGTCTGTCTTTGTCTCTGTCTGTCTGTCTCTGTCTCTGTCTCTCTCTCTCACTCTCACTCTTGCTCTCGCTCTTGCTCTGTCTTTTCCCTTTGTGCTGTGGTGCTAGTAATGGAAGGCAGGACCTCATACACGCTAATCAAATCAGCTCTACTGCTGATTTCCACCCCTACTGCAAGTTACCATTCTTTCTGCTGCTCCAATCTTCGGTTAGGTGCCTCTGATTCCCTCCTATCTCCACCCGGCTGGTACCTGCCCCCATGTCCCCATGTCAGCTGTTGCTCAACCTCCTGACCAGGATGGGCTGGCCCCGTGTGACCTGGCTTGGCTAAATTGAGGGTGAGGCATGGTACTTGCGAGTCTCCATGTGTTCCAGAAAAAGAAGACGTGTGGCAAGGGCCACGTGCAGCCGCTATGCAAAGACCAGAAGAATGTCACTTCACCACCGACTCCAATCGTCTCCCATCATTTTCGCCCTGTAATCCACATTTTAGCTTCCCCAGGCTTTCCTGGGATTGTTAAGGGCATGAGTGTTGGGAATGTCATATCTGGGGAGGGGTGTACGCTGCGCCACACTGTGCCACACCATGCCAGTTGCTCTGTTGGAATGCTCAGCTACTGGGATGATAAACTCTCAGTTTCGGGAATGAATTAAAGAGGTAGAGTTTAAAATAAGATGGTTTATTTGGACAAAGATGGAGAAAAAGAAGGGACAGCTACTCTGGAGGAGGAGGGAGCATCAGAAGTGGATACCTGTGGGTTTTTGTCCTCAGCTCCTTTTTATTTAGGACTAGCAATTTCTCATGACCCTCTTTGGGCCCCGGGAGATGCCATCATCCAAAGCATCCTTTGGTGATCTTCGAACCTAAACTGAGTATCTCTGTCTTTGGTCTTTCTGGCTGCCTTTTGTGGTGGACAGAAAGGTAACTGAGAGTTAATGACTAAGCAAAGGGCTCTTGGGCGTTATCTGGTGCAGTTATAGTGATGCTAAGTGAGATTGGACGTGTAAGTACATACACAGCAGTGTGTGGATATTTTCTACATTAAATGAGAGTCTGTAGGTGGATGCCCCCTTTCTCCTTTGTATTTTACCAGAGGTGGATGAGAGGACTGCTTTCTCTGGTGTCTCAGCTTTCTGGCTTTTGCCTTGCTTTTTTTTCTTTTTGATAAATTCCCCAGGTAACTCTGCTATCTGGTGCTGCTCTGGGTTCTGTCTGTTTATCTCTGTCTCTTTTTTTTTTAAATGAGAAATGATTTATATAAAATATACAAATTTCGCAGGATTAGGTGTCCACAGAACAAAGGAACAACTACAATGTATTTTCTTTGAAAACAACATTCCTCTTACCTTGTCCCTGATATTCAAGACCCACAAAAACAAAACAAAAGAAAATATCTATACAAGACTAGGACACAGAAAAGGATCAGAAAGGATGTTATGCTGAAGGCTCAGGACTTGCCCTAAACTTCTGCCTCCCCAACACCCCCACCAGAGCAGGGGGACCCAGGTACATGCAGGTTTGATGCTGCTGCTTGCTCGCTGTCAAACTTGCTCGAATTGGCCTGCACCAAGATGGAGCCTCCCCGGTAGCTGCCTCGCTTCTTCTTGGTTTTCTCATGATAGAAGGACTTGGCTTTGGCGAACTTCAGAACCTGACTGGTGTGTTCCCCCAGCCTCTGGGGGGCTGCACCTGAGTTGTCTGCTACTCTGGAGTCCACCTCAGTTTCCTCCTGCCTGACTCCAAAATGGGGAAGACACTCTTTTTTCTCCTCTCTTCCTTTTGGAAAATGTGCTGGGAGACTGGAGTTTAGCCATCTTGGCTTGAGGAGTCTCTGCCTCTGTCACTGCCTCATTCTGCTAGCGCTTCTTTTGGGAACCTGGCTTAGAGGTGGCCACCGCAGCCTCTTTCTTCTGTCCCTCCCCTTCCTCCTCAGTGTCCTGGCTGGCCTTCCCATTTTGAACAGTCGGTGCCGGAGTGGCATTGGCCTTTGGAGCTTGGGGCTGTGGCACAGCCATACTCTTGGGCTCCTCCCCCTTCTTCCTCCTCACTGGAATTGCCCGAGGAAGAACTGCTGCTACTCCCAACCTTGGTCTTCTTGGCAGAGGCTGCCTTTGATGGGACTGCCCCTCCTGCCACCTTTTCAGACGAGATTGGGCGTGTTCAGGGTGGTATGGCTGTAGACATCCTGCCACCTTTTCAGGCTTCTTTTCAGCCTAAGACTTGGAGGTCTCCTCCTCCTCCTCCTCCTCCTCCTCCTCTTCCTCCTCTTTCTTCTCCCCCTTACTGCTGGAGCTGTCACCCCCACCAGCCTGAGAAGCCTGTCTGACAGGTAGAGCTGCTGCTGCTTTGGCAGTCCGCTTCACCTTTGGGGTGGCCGCAGCCTTCTCTGGCTTCTCCTTCTCACTGGAGCTACTCTCCTCCTCGCATGAGCTGCTGTCAGCCTTTCTAATCAGAGACTTCTGGCTGCTGCCTGCAAGCTGCTTGGGAGTGGCAGCTACTGGCTCAGCTGCAGGTGGCTTTGGCATGGCAGCCTGCTTACTTAGGGAACTTGGAGCTACTGGCTGGCTTGGATGGAGCTTCATCCTCAGAGCTGTCAGAGTCTGAGCTGTCTGAAGAGCTCTCTTCTGCCTTCTTTGCGGTGGCTGTTTTGGTGGCTGCCTTGGAAATGACTATTTTAGCTGAGATTTTCTTCTCTTCCTCAGAACTCGAAACAGATTCATTGCTGCTGTCTTCATTGCTTCCCTTGGGATGCTGATTCTCCATGGCTTTCTAAGAAGATGGGGCTCCCAGTGGCTTCTTCAGTGGGGGACCAGAGGGTGGGGGCACGGAAGTGTAGGGACCTGGCTTTTTCTTCATGGGCTTTTTCTGCTTCTCTTCTTCCTCACTGGAGAATTCTTCACTACTGAAACTCTTCTGGGTGGCTACTACAGGCGCTTTTACAGGGGCCTTGGTCACAGCTTGCTTTTTAGGTGTGCTCTTCTTGGGGATGGCTGCTGCCACCTCTTCCTCTGAATCTTTGCTGCTGTTGCTGCTGCCGCCACTGCTGCCACCACCACCAGCTCTGTCATTGGCCACCTTAGGTGGCTGTTCGAGCTGGTACCCTGGTTTTGCTGGGGCTTTTGCGTGAGCTCTCACAACCACAGGTGTTGTCTTTGGCTTCAGGTTTTTTGGTGCCTCATTCTCTGAACTTGAATTGGAGTCAGACTCAGACCTCTTGGCCTTCTGAGGAGCAGCTCTGGCTGCCTTGGCTTGGGGTTTAACTCCCTTCTGGACAGTGGTTTTCCTGTGTCCTCCTCTTTATCATCATCACTTGATTCTTCACTGTTGCTGCTCTCTGAAGCTCTGGCCACAGCCTTTTCAGGACGCTGACGTGGATTAGCCCTCTTGGCAGGTATGGGTACAGCAGGCTTCTTAGCTGGAGCTCCTTGAACTGCCTCTTACTCCTCCTCCTCCTTGCTGCTGTCCTTGCTGTTGTCACTGGATGAGCTACTCTTCTTAGCCTTCTTGTCACTGGTCCATTGGCGTGTAACTTCCGCTTCAGGGCTTTGGTGGATTTGAGCCAGAAGTTTTAGATGTCCAGGAGGGAGGAGGCGTTGGCATCCTGCTGATAGTGCCTGTCACCTTGACGAACTTATTGACCACCTCTGAGAGTTGGTTAAGCCCAGAAAGCCAAGCACAAGTGGATACAGGTGACTGGGAACCACGTGGCGTAAACCAGCTTCTGCTATCCCCTGGCAATATGCGTCACTCTCTGTCTCTCATCTTTCAAATTGTTCTAACTATAGAGACTACCTAGAGAGGAAAAAGCTGCCCCCAGAAAAATTTCCCATTTTTAAAAAAATTTTCAAAATCATTTGCTTGGCAAGCACAAGGGCCTGAGTTCAATCTCCAGTTCCACCAAAAGAAAAAAAAAATTCAAAATCGTTATTTATTTATTTGGTACAGGGTTTCACTATGTAGCTCAGACTTGTAGTTAACCTCTTGTCTCAGCCTTTCCAGAACTGGGATTATAGTCATATACCACCATGCCCAGTTTCTGTGACCAGCATGGGCAGGGCTGGCACAGCCTTCATTCCAGGGATTGAACTCAGGCTCTTGCTCTTGCCAGGGAAGTGCTTATTCCACTGAGCCAGCTCCCCAGCCCCCCCTCCCATTAACTTTTAATTAAACCTATCTTTTCCTTGTCTAGAAGCTGCCTTTATCTACAGATAAGGAATACCCAAGTTTCCATCTTGTGCTTCTGTTCTCTAGGCACTTATTGAACTTTTCTGAGACTCAGTGTTCTCATCTGTTAAGGGGGCTAATGATAGTTCTTACTCTAAGGAGGAAATGAAGAAGTTGGGTCAAGTGTTCAGCAGTGTTGGCACACTGGGCTTTGCAAGCTGGATCTTTGTAACCCCCAAGGACCATTCAGGCCCAGGGACATGGCAAGTGGCCCTTACTGAGCTACTTAGATTTCCTTGGGAATCAGTCACCAGCTGGCAGAAACATGCTTCATGCATGAAATGTGCTCTCAGCCCAGCTTTCCACATCCATCATCCCACCATGCATCTGGGCCACACACCCTTTGCCACAATCCCTCACTTACACTGTTTCCATTTTTCTCTCTGTTCCCTGGGCCCCTTTTCAGCTCAGCCACCCTAGTACATTGAGAGGTTTCCTGCCTATGTGAGGAGAACTCCTCCTCCACTTCCTGCAAACTGATGAGCAGTCAGAGCCTGTAGGTGGCTTGGGATCTTTGTAAGTCAGGTTCTAGAATATTTTCTGCAAAAACTAATTCCCATCTTTCTCTGATTTTTCTGTTGCAGTTCAGACCAAGACCTGGAGACCTAATCGAAATTCAACGCTCTGTCTACGCTCACTGGGCTATCTATGTGGGAGAAGGCTATGTGGTTCATGTGGCTCCCCCAAGTAAAGATGGGTTTTCTTTTCAAACACAGCTTGAGATTGAGAGTGTGAACAGAGGCAAAGTTAGGTGTGGGCCCTCACTCTGCCTGGCCACATAGGCATTCAGTAAATATTAACTGAACAAATCATGTTCTTTCCTGATGGCCTGCTGACAGCTGTTCCTCCTTATTAGTAATTTGAGAAGAAATGACTGATTTGTATGAACCCTCTAGGGTGGGGTTCAGCCCAGACCAAGCTACTATAGTTGATTAGCATTCCTCCAAAGGTCCAGTACCCTCCAGTGTATATTTATTGATCTGGAGACACAAGCAATAGTAAGAAGTAGTTCCTGCCTTCAAATATTTGAACTGGATGTGAAGTGTAGTGAAAGAAATGTGGGGCTCCACACTTGGAAAAACCAGTTTGGAGTTCTAGGTCCTTTGCTCACTGACTGTGGGACTTCGCCATGTGGCTTTTTCTCACTAGGTTGAGCAGTACTCCGTGACGCACAGGGCTCAGTATAAGGCTTTGAAGAAAGAGTGGGAGGCAAGCGGCCTGGTGCTAAAGCAAATGCCTTTGGTTTGCAGCATCACAGTATTATTATTATTATTATTATTATTTGTCTTAAAATTTTTTTTTTAAATTTATGTGTGTGTGTGTGTGTGTGTGTGGCCAGCTCAGCCCACCAGGGGGCGGGGCTGGCTGGCATGTGGTGCTGGGGGATTGAACCACAGTCCCTGTGCTTTGCTAAGCTTGTTCTAAGTAGGTGCTTTAGACCACTGAGCCATCTCACCAGCCCCTATTATTTGTCTTTAAACACAGACTTTAATGTAACAATTTATTTAAGCTCAACTAACTTTAGCTGTAGTCTTAGGCAGATGTCACTTCTTTTGGTGACTTGCACTGAGTTCCTCATAAGACAATTCGTTTAAAAGTAATCAACAATCAGTTAACAGTTACGTCAACACAAAACATGGCTAATTTGTCACCCCCCATCACTAGCACAGCTTGATCAGTATTTAATACTAAGCCATTCGTACTTAAAAATGAAAAGTGAGTGTGCTTCACTACCCCTGGGACCACTTAACTGTGGTTCATACTTTTAAATGTGAGTACACCCATATATGTGGTTTGGACATGATTTATTAAGTTAAGGTTTTTCTCTGAACTGGAACTGAAATGCATGCTTTCTGGCTCTGAAGATGTTCTGGTTTTGTTCATTCTGTAATAAGCCTTTCATTGGGAAATACCAGTCAGCCCATATTGTTATGGGTCACTCAGAATAGGAACTAGATCAGCCAGACTGGAATTTGGAAAGCTGTTTATTACTGAGCTCAGGGCCCCCAGCAGCTCTCACTCAGGAGAGGACC